GGGGGGGGGGGGGGGGGGGGGGCGGGGGGAGTCGCACACATGGACCACCGAGAGGGGATGAGGGCCTCAGGTGTGCAGAGATCCCGGCCCCTCAAATGACAGGGAGAGAATTCAATGGGCAAACCGTTAGCACAAACGGACCAAGAGCAAGCTGCAAGTTGGACGGCACAGACAGAAAGTTAGCAGTCATCTGCCTACTTCGGGCAGCTGTCCTGACCAATTAACTATCTCACCAATTAGTGGGCATCTGGAGTCGAAAACACAACACAAATAGGAGATGGGGAAAGTTGGAAAGTTGTGTTCCCATGGAAGGGCAAAAACAAGACAGGGAACGTGTGGCGAATAATCTGGACTTGATCTTTTTTCAAAAGTAAGCGCACTCTCCGGGAATATTAATATAGGTCGAGAGTATGTACAGTCCCTCCAATTTTCTGCATGGATGAGAGCTAATGCAGACCCATCCACAAAAACACAATGTAGAAAACTTAGGAATGTGCTCGGAGAAAAACCCTACCCACACTGTTGTAAACTCTCATTCCGAAAATAAAGGAGAAATCAAATAAAATGAAAGAAACCTCTAAAGAGGGAAGGAAAGGAACATACACACTACACCTCCTCCTTATTTCTGTATCTGTAAAAGTAACAACTGTAGCCACAGGGCTGATAAGCACTTTTTAAACAGAGAAGTTGTAGCCTTTTTAAAAAGCGAACAAGAAGCCATCAAACCTTTTCCTCCATGCCTCTGACCACTTAAAAGAAATCTCCCTCCACTGAAGAAAATAATGTATCTTCCGTCTTTACCAACAATATACTCTCCTTGGGGGGAGGAAGAAGCAGCATTTACTGAGACTTAAGGTTGTGCGAAGCTCTTTGATCTGCACCCTGATGAGTGAACATTCCCCTCTGCTTCAAGCCAACTAATGAAGGGATGAAATTAGCTTTTATCCTGGGCACTTTCTTGAGCCAAAAACCATGCACTAATCAGCTGTCCTCACTCATCAGTCATCTGGCTAATGACCTTTTGCCTTAAAACACTAAAATTTCTGAACGATGTGGAAAAAGGGAAACACAAACCAGTCCCCCCTCCCTGGAGCGCGATGGTCCATCTGGAGTCGGAGCAGGTCTGTATCCTGGCAAGGTGATAAATCTGTAATCAAGAGCTGCAAGCCTGGGCATCTCAATATGAACTTCATTACTCCACCACCGAATTACATTTTTGTTAAACTAGAACCAGGCCAGAAATAAACTTAACCCTTGTATATTTTCCTTTACGTTCTGCCTTGGGAGAAAACTGTTGTATAGGTGTGTTCGGAGCTCTAATTAATTTCTTAAACTTTCTGAGTGATGGAAAAGGACCTTTCCGAGGCCTTCTGGTCTGCTGATTCCAGAAGAAAGTAGGACACATAGAAAAATCTTCCATAGGAAGGAATTCAGCCTTGGTTGGTTAGAAGAGGTTTGCTCCTCCTCAACAATGAAGCAAAAAACCAAACAAACACAAATCACTGAAAAGGGGAATGGCTGCCGTTAAAGACATCTGCTAATGCCTCCCACTTCAATAACTGCCCCCCTCTACCAGTTTTCCTCTAGCAGCATCTACTTGGGTGGAGCAAACCTGGTTCTAGTTCCCGGGAAAGGTCCACGTGGATTAGCCACAGACGGACACCTTCCTGACGGCGGCCCTCCAACCCCCTCCGAGGCCTGAGCTGCTTAGGGATGCACGGAAATGGCTTTCCCTAAAAAGAATGGACAGGATGTGGGAGAAGTAGGAAGTAAAGCAGACACTAAATTAAACGTTTGTATAAATTCCATTTGTATAAATTAATACATGCCAAATACCTCATTAATTAAGCGCATGCACACACGTGCCCACACACGCCCACACACGCAGAGCCCGCCGCGGCTCCTACAGCAAGTGCCATGGGGAGGGGACCACTTACGGTAGTGAGGCTCCATGTAGCCGTTCCTGGGGTCCATGGCAAACACAGCCCCGCGGTAGGGGACAGAGGGCTCGGCCAGGTGGGGCAGGGACCCATGGATCTCCTTCTTGATCAGCGAGGCCCTCTCGTCACTGGATGTCGACGGTTCCTCACTGATCTTGCCCAGCCCCGGCACGCTCTGTGGCTGCATGGTGACTGCGTTTCTTCTCTCTCTGTGATAGGTCTGTCCAGGACTTTCATCCTCTGAAGAAGGAAGGGAAACGGAAACTCTGTGAGCAGCCATCAGCTAGGGCTCCCTCTCCATCCATCTACCCCCGCAAAAGAAGCCTATTTCTCATTCTTGGCAACTTTGAAAGCTACACCACGACGGGACAGTCTCAAGCCAAAACTGCTTATGAATGAGGGTCCAAGATACAAATCGAAGGAGGAAGGCGGGCAGGAAATGAGCCTATTCACTTGAGATGTAGGGGGTCAGCAAATTCTCATCCCCGGTTTCCAGCCGAATCTGCCAGGGAGGCTCAGCGGGGACTCTCCAGTATCCCCGCGGGTCCCCCATGGAACTGGAAGTTTCGCCAGTCTAAGGCTGTGCATGTCCAGTTTCCCCTGGTCTGAGGAAGCCAGGCCTCCGGGTGATCTAGGAAGCGAGGGACCTCTGTTCCTCAGAAAAGGACCCATTAGAAAGCGATCACAAAGTTTTTGTGATTTGGGTTTTTTTTTTTAAGTCAGATTTGTGACCCACTGAGAGATGAAACAGAGCCAGACATGGGACAGAAAACCCATTGGTTCCAAGGGATAAAGATGCCAATCATGGAAACCTACAGTGCCCCTTGCAGGACACTTCCTGCTTCAGCCCACAGAGCAGAGCTGAGAGCTAAGACGAAAACGGGGTGAGGCTATGGGTGTGGAGGGCATCAGTTACACTGATCTACATCCATGCTCTGGTGGGCTCCAGACGTCACTTCCAACATGTAAGCAATGGCTTGCTGAAATGCCAGCTCCCTAATAGTTCTCCTTTTCATCTGTAAGAACTTTCCATCTGTCCACTATGATTCTCTGCCAATGTGATTGGATGACCTTTCTGTAATAGCAGATCAAAGAGCTGAGGCATAAAATCAAACTGAACGGGCGATCGGAACCCACAACTAGTGGACCGATTCATCTGTTAGAATCATACACACACTCTAAACTACGCCCACACAGGCTCTGTGTTTAATCCACAGACTGTACTCTGGCAGATAAGTGCTGATGGAAACCAAGCTGTTGGGACACTGCTTAGACACCTCATTTGAAAGCTGTTTCCTGTTCCTGATTCTAAAAACAAAAACTATATGTGGGTATAAATAATCATACTGTTGTACTATTTAGATGAGCAGATTTTGAACTCATCTGATCTCAATACACAAACTTCTCTTCAAAGTATCCCAGAAAGCAGGTATGTCTGGCTGAGAGCCTCTAAAAAAAAACAGAAGAAATATGCTTTAGCAGTTTCACAGCTCTTTTGACAAATTCAGAAGAATAGCTATAAATTTGAATGAGCGTGAAAATACAAACTAACAACTACTGCTTTGTGATGACGAATAATCTGAACTACCTAAAGCCAGTAGAAACTCTCATTTTTCTGCCTATGTTTGGGACTTGAAGAAATAAGCAATTTTTTTTTTTTTTAGCCTAGCAAATGACTTCCAAAACTGAATAGGCAATGAGGTATGTTCTGGACTTTAACAGTAATTTTGCTGACTACTGCTGGATAACTGTGAAACGTTATTCTAGCGTTATTTTGTGCAGATCCTCACCCCAAAACCTTGTAATGATAGGATAAATTATGAGTTTAATCTATCAAGTAACTACTAAAAAAGAAAATGGTGCAATCCCACATTTTCACCCATTGATCTTTGCAAAAGCAATTCCAACCATGCTTTTGCTAATTTAAAAACAAACTCAAGGAAAAAATAACAAACCCTACATTTTTATTTTCCTTTCTGACTGATACTTTTAGGCCCTAGGCCACTCCCATACTTTAACAGCAGTGAAGTTGCAGGCTATAGAACGAGGGTTTGCAGTGACGTAAAAGCAGAAGGGTGTCAAAACCACTTCAAAACTCTTAGTCGGTTTTATAAAAATTCCTATAATGCACAAATGACCAAAGTCATATTTTCCACTGATTTGCGCCTGCACAAATTTCTACTTCCGACCGTATAGCGCTGAGGGGCACATTCTGTAGAATGCCCCTTCATTTGGAAAAGCAGAAAGCCCCTATCAAATGGGGCTGTGACACATAATTAGCATTCTCTGGGCAAGATGACTAACCAAGCCCTACTAATCTGTTCCAGGTTTAAAACAGGATTCCCTTGACTTAATCTTCCTAGAAGAAATTAACTTTTCTTCTCTTAAAACTGCGTCCCTGTAACACGGTGAGTTTCTTCGACGTGATGCCTCTACGGATGAGCATCTGCATCCAACTTCGCGAATCACTGAGTAATTGGCATGGTCTGATCACAGCCCTCCCACCTTCTCCCCACCGGTGGGAGAAGGAAGTCGTGTGGCGGGGTAAGTGGAAACGGGGGGTGACGTTTTAGCTAAAAATTATTTTCTTCATGAGAGTTAACACAACATGTGTGAATATCAAATTATAACAAGAAATCGGCAAAGTTCAAACATTTAATACTGAAAAAAAGAATGAATTCCCTTAGTAAAGTACAATGCAGGCCAGCATTTTTTTGCACGTGGAAACTTTCATCAGACTGACTTTTACAAGAGTCAATGCTCCCAAATTTTCACCTACCCTCCCCCTCCAGAACATTCCAGCAGACGGATTATTTCATGAAGTTCATCTCGTGTACTGAGTGGATTCTGAGGGGCACTCAGATGAAAACTTGACAGTACACATACCCCAGAATACAAACAGCTAAGAGGCTTGAAGGCATGCACTCTACAGTGGAAAGGGAACTTTCCAAGCAATATTCCTGCCTGCTCTTATAAATTTAGTAACCACTTCAGCAAGCCAAAAAGACGAGAGCTGTCTAATCCTGCTCAGTTGAGCTGAGTTGTTCAATAAAGTTTGAGAGTCAGAGCAGACAGGCTACGCCAGGCCAAATTATTGACAGAAACATACTGTCCACCATGGCAACAAGCAGAAGTCGGCTGCAAAAATGTAAGCAAACAGCCCAGTCCTCCAGAAGCATCTGCCAATGGACTTGAACAGCCAAACACAAGGCGACTGTTCATGCCTCTCTCCGTTCAACAGCTGCAAGCTCGGGGGTCACACTGAGACATGCGATTCACTAAAAGCTTCAGGAGAAAATTATTTTCGAAACTGTCATCGGGATCCCACTTGGGACCCCCCCCTGCCTTCTGTAGATCTGTGCTCCAGGGGAAGTTAAGGAATTCCTAACGCCCTAGGGAGAGCTGCCCCTGCATCTCACTTTAGAAACTGTCCCAGATCTTCCAAGCTCTTCCAAAGGCAACCCACATGGCATGGAACACGCTTAGTGCCATAAACTCTCAAAACTCAAAAGTGGCCTCCTGGCCAACACTGCTGAGACAGTTTACAGTGAAGGTTTAAAGGAAGTAATCATGTTGCCTGAAGCAGGACTCAACACACACGCCTGTGCACGCTCGCAAACTCCTGGACGATTTCTCCTCACGACCCAGGAAACAAGTGCTCTTTCGCCTCGGAATGGGAAGAACAGTTTCAGAGGATTCTTCGGATAGAAAAGTAAAACCCTACGCTGCATCACTAACTGGGAACACCTCCTGTCCCCCTGACCGAATTAGCGGATGAGGAACTCCCGGGAGGTACACGTGCTCACCTCTGAAAGGAACACGGATTTTAAGCTGTCCCTTGAAATCCCGTTTTAAGAGCATCACTCCTCTCTTCCCCCAAGACACAGGAGACACAGAGCAAAAGAAAACAAATACTTACAACTCGTCCCAGGCTCTGGCTAGCTACTTTCTGCAAACTTCTCTTGGTGGGCTTTCTCTAGCGGTGCAGACCCTCGAGGAACATTCTCGGTGTCTCCCTGCCCCCCCCTGCGCCTTGGCCCTCTCCCTCTCCCAGGCAGTGCTTGCTCCCATTAGAGGAATTAAAAGTGGTTGGAGCCATGCTAAATTTAACAAGCTCATTAGTATTCTTTCTGAGTGCTTCGGAGTGAACTCTCTCTATTCAAGCCGCTCTCTCCAGCAGAAGGGTCAGGCTGGCTAATCATTAAATCAAACTAATGTCACCCTATCACAATCAGTCCAAGAGAAGGAGGGTTTATTATTTCAGTTTATGCTAAATAAACGGTTTTACAAACGGTCCCCAAGCAAGGTCAACAGCAGCTTCAATTACAAGACAAACTTAACAAGAGTTGCAATAAACCAAGGATCCCGTATTGACTTAAGAACAGGCTCGATGCCACATATGGCCACTAGCAAGGGTTGTACAGGAATGCATGCTGGAAAATAAAGGAAGAGGGGGAGCTTCTTTCTATGCCAGAATTCGCCACTGCACAGCAACTGCTCATTCACCTCTCTCCAACCAGCTAGATGCTCAGCTCAATTCACTGCACACAAAGGCTGGAGCCCAGACCTCAATGGACCGAGGGAAACACATCAGAACTAGGCTCTCTATTGTGACTGAATTTCTTAACATCTTTTCAAAAAGCAGAGAATGCCTTGAGGCTAAAGGAAGAAACAGGCTAATGGTGAATTGGGAATTCAGAGCAAATTTCAGAGCCCTTTCCTCCTAGCTTTTGAGGTTGAAAGCAAGCTCTTTCCTTTCAAGTTTCAAAGTCCTTTTTCCTCCTGCAGTGTCACAGAAGGATTTGAAAAGAAGGTAATTGTGCTCGCAGTCTCCCTGATCAGAGCTTACGTCCTATTTCTGGTATTTCGGAATACTTCTTGCAATAATAGTGCATATAGCTCAATCCCTTAACCGGCCTGCACTCTGCAATTGCTCATTAAATGAACAATTGCGGTATAAAATGCCTTTTATGTTCAAGGTCTGGATATAAGATAAGCATTCTAGGACTCTAAATTTGGTTTACTAAGGAAACTCTCCATCATTAAATTACAAAACTGAAGTCAGAATATCAGGTTTTCCAAGAAAAGTGGCACTCAGATTTCAGTGAGCCCAAAAGACAGGGCGGCTGGGGAGAGGGAGAGAAGCCACAAAATGTTGAGGGGGTGGGGAGGGGAAGACTGCATACTCGAAAAAGATTTCGAGGCGAATGGGATTCGAACAAGAAAATAATATTTCCGTG